GAAGAAGAAGAAGAAGAAGAAGAAGAAGAAGAAGAAGAAGAAGAAGAGGAGGAGGAGGAGGAGGAGGAGGAGGAGGAGGAAGAGGAAGAAGAAGAAGAGGAAGAGAAGGAGGAGGAGGAGGAGGAAGAAGGAGCAGCAAAAAGGCTGGGTACATAGCTCAGTGGCAGAGTGTTTAATTCCCAGGACCAGAAAGCAAACACAAAAAATCAAACCTAGAAGTAACATTTATTAAGGATCCGTTCTGTGCACAGGGCAGTAACTGTTTCATGCATCTATTAGCTCATTTAATCTTCTCATTCTTTGTTGTACATGCCATTAGCCTTGTTAATATTGTCATTTTGAGAAGCCTTGCAGTAAAGCCTGATGATCTTTAACCCAGTGTTTCACAATTTATTTAGCCCTGGGAATCTTCCTGGTGAATAATTTTTTTTGTGTTTTTTTTTTTTCCAGTACCAGGAATCAAACTCACGACCTTGCGCTTGCCAGGCAGGCGCTGTGCCGCTGAGCTAAATCCCCAGCCCCCAAGTGAATAATTTTTTTTAACACTGCTTGAGTGTTTCCAGCATACCGGGCATTGTACTAGAGATTTTGTATTAATTCATTTAATCCTCATTGCAATCCTGTCAAGAACATCTGCATAATTAATATATTCAGTTGTAAATGAAGCAATGGTGGCAGAGAGGTTAAGTACCCTGCCCAAAGCTACATAGCTGCTAAGTAACAGAGGTGAGCCACTGTGCCCTCCCAGGTGGGGATACCTGTGGCAACTTCTGTAGAGCAACACGTGTTGGCAAATTGGGCTTGAGTAAATAGAGGAGAGACCATCTCCTCCCCTGATGAATGACCTTAGTTGCTCTAAGTGCTTGATTTGCAAGTTCTCCAAGGCCCTGACAACCATCCAGTCCTCCTGAAGCCCCCTTTCATCTCCTTTCAAGTCTGAGCCAGGAAGCAAGGCTCCCGGTTCCCTCCTGCTGTGCAGGTGGGAGACACATTGCTCCCCGAGGAGGGCGGACCTCTTGCTGGGAGCAGAGAGCTGCCAGCGGGTGGAATGCGTAGACTTACTGCAACAGGGTGCCATTCACAGCACCCCCAG